TTTTTCAGCCTTTGTCCTTACTTACCTAATGTTGTAGTATGGAGTAATTTGCAACTGTGCATAATTAAAATGGGTGGCTCCTAAAACTACAAGCATGAGTAGCCATATTCCATATGATCTTAGTGGCCTATTTGTCAGAAGATTAATTATATAGGAAGAAACAGCACATGTAATTTCTTAAAGAGCTGTAATTTCTTAAAGGGAATTTTAAGAAATTAATGAAATTACAGAGCTGTAATTCCTTAAAATGAAATGCAGTGATGCATAGCTTTGACCCGAAGAGTAGAAACATTGACCTCTAATTCTGAGCAAATTGTACTTGCCATTAACTGGAGTGGGTGATTGTTCTAGCTTTGCTTCCTGGAGAAAAACTGTTTCACCTCCAGCTAGAAAAATTCACTAGAAACTTCAATATTTTTAATTTACAAGGAACCCTTCTTTCCATTTCCCACAGAGAGACTTCGTGATTTAAAGGCCAGGTGTACAGAAAGAGAGATAGAAGTCCAGCAGGTGCCAAGGTCTGGAAATGTCTGTCTCAATGATTTGTCTACATTAGTATCATCACCACACAGTAAGTTTCTAAGTTAGGAGTCTCTTTCACATTTAGTTTCAGAGCATTGTGGGAACACCTGGCTGTGTGATTGAGTCATTAGTTGTGTAGGCGTTTAGCAGATAGTAAACCAGTTTATTGTTGTGTTCTTTCATACCTACAGAAGATGTCTTTGCTACCACAGGTGGCACAGGTAGGAAGTGCCTGAAGTGTGTCACATTATGAGAGTGGTTCTAGTAAACCTCAGCCTAGTTTAGTTGCATTCTGACCTGATCGTTTTGCCTGTGCTTTTCCTATCTTCATAGCAGTTTATGATTTGGGAATGTTGAGAGGATCTAGAGCTGTCTTTCATCAAAATCTGACTGGGAGTTATAGTCAAGAATTAGTCTAATTTCCTCTGGCCTGTCTTAGCTACTCTGACAGTGAAAGTACAGTTTAAATTCCAATGCACCTTATGTACAAAAGTCTGCAGGCAATGGGAACCTCTGGACCTGCTGCAGCCCCCATTAGCATCTGACCTGGTAGCCAACAGAGGCACCACTTTCAAAGAACTTGCTCTTACCAGTCTGAGGGCTGCCTCACATCCAGTGGTACTGCCAGAGATGTCTGCTTTCCCTTTCCAACAGGTATTTGTAGTGTTTATGGAAAACCACTAGTTGCAATGTTGTTTCTTGTACTTCAGTGTCTTCAAACAGAGGACGAGCAGAACTGGCACGTCGGGAGCGGGAGCTGATGGCAGAAGTCTGGCAGCTCAGACAAAGGCTCATCTCACAGGCCCAAGCCAGACACCCTCCAGCTCGTTTCCCAGCTACAACGTGGTCACCTTGAGATGATTTGCTCTAGACCTTAGCTGTACTTTCATATTATTAATCAGTGAAAAGCTAAATATGTATAGTGTGATTCAGGATGGATCATAGACTGTTTATTAAAGGCTTTTGGAGAGTCTTCTATATTTTAATATAAGAATAAAATCCTAGGTAGAAAATACATCTTTTGTTTGTAACTTTCTTGTTATTTTTTACTTCTAAAATAAACTCATTTTTTACCATTAAGTTACTGAGTGCGCAGTATTGGTATATTTCATTTTTTTCTGGTTGCTATCCTGACTTGAAGAAACAAACCACTGTTAAAATGTTGGTTTTGTCAGTGATGTGTAAGTGGATTCTACAAGTTGCAGCAGGGAAATTTGCAATTAGAGAAAAAAATCATTTCCAGCAAGAGCCAAACATTGAAACGAAGGCCCAGAGAGGGTATGGAGCACCTGCTGCTGGACATGTGTGTAGTTGTTACACATATTGGCAGGTTTATTTCAAAGAATGGTGAGAGAGGATCTAAACAAATCCCTTGCTCTTCGTAGTTCTTGTGGTACTGATGGCTAATGCTTTTGACCCAAAAGTCAAGAACATTATGGGGTGTTACAGTAAAAAAGAACAGGGCAAAGTAAATTAAAGTGAATCATCCATAATTGCTACACAGTGCTGATACAGGGGTAGACCTGGCCCAGTGAAAATACAAGGACTGGGATCGTAATTTGTTCTGCCTCCCTTGGGGTTTTGCTGATGCTCTTTGGGGCAGCAGTACTGGAGCAGGACTGCCAGGTGCTGGCCCTGGGGGCTGAGGCACCGGGCAGACCCAGGATGATCCCTCTAACCAGCAACTTTTTGTCACCTGGGGCTGGGAACAGCCTCTGCTTCTCATTAAATTACATGAAAACATAAAAGCACAAAGGTACTTAGTTATCCTTGCCTTAGCATTCTCTTCATCTGGAAGTGGAAAGAATCCCATTAGCAGCAACCAGGATCCATGGAAATCTCATTGCAGCCCTCAGCAGAGTGTGGAGAAGAGGCAGAAAAATGCAACGAGCCAGGATCATCTCGGAGGCAGAGGGAGTAGACGAGAAAAAATGTCTTTTTCTGATGATTGTCTTTGAGTTTACATATGATTGTTTCTATATTTAAAGGGATAATAAACCCACTGAGGTTTTGGCCTGCAGCGTGGGCTATATGTGTGTGTGCTTATGGTTTGTAAAACGGTAAAGCTGTAAATGTGTGAACTGGAGTAAATGTGTGAGCTCGCAGGCAGGGCGGGTGTCCCGCCGTGTCCCCACAGCAGCTCCTGGTGCAGCCTGACCCCAGGTGTGCCACCGCCCACCGCAGGAGCCATGTCCCCGTCCCCACATCCCGGTACGGACTCGCCCACGGGCTGAACACCGGCTGCCAAAAGCTGGAACAATCGCACGAGTTATTCCCGCGAGCCCAGCAGCGGGAGAGACAGGCCCTTGACCTTGCTCTGCCGCTTCGGAAATCACGACAAGCACGACTTGGAAGTCACCGACGGGCTCCGAGCGCGGTGTCGGGCGAGCTTGTCGCCGCTAAAGGCGCGGGCAGGCGGCCGAGAGCAAAAGTAGTGCCCGCCTTTGCCCCGTGTGAGGATCGAACTCACGACCTTCAGATTATGAGACTGACGCGCTACCTACTGCGCTAACGAGGCGGCTGAGTGCCTTCTCTCCGCGAGGCCACTCGGTCCTCCTGGCGGCCTCGCTCCCCACCGCGGCCACGGGAGGACACGGCCCGGCCCGGCCCAGCCCGGCTCTTCCTCGGCCCACACCGCTCCCACCGGGCGGGATCCCGTGCTGGCCGTGCGGGGACTCGGAGTGATCCATGTGAGACGGCAGGGATATTCGCTAGGGTGACAGTGTGAGGCCCCATAGTATAACCTGTAAGGAGCCCCGCCGTGCCCGTGTGGGGGACCGGGGTGACCCTGAGAGACCCTGGCCGGGGAGGGGAGGGCCGTCCCTGGCCCTGTTCGGCGTTGGCAGGGCACAGTCCTGCATGTCAGGGTAATTAGATGGCATCATTTTCGGCCTAATTGCGCAGAACAGGTCAGGAGGTAATTAGTGACTTTCTGCCGCGTCTGGCAGCTGCGGGCGGATGTTGGGGGCGGAGGGAGGGACGGGGTAGTTTTTAAAATCACCCCAGAAGCTCAGGACGGCCCCGCCACAGCCCCTTCTCGGCCCCACGTGGTCGTTCCGGGATTAATATCCGAATTTCATTCTCTTCTGTGTTTCGTACATCTTTACGTGTGATTTTATTTTTTTCCCCACCCTAAAAGGCACCTGACATAGAATCTGTGAACCTGCCCTGAAAAACTGTCCCTATGCGTCCCTGAAGACACCCGCACTCCCGAGGCCAGGGCAGCGGGACCCTCTCCCTGCACACACGGCCTCAGCAGCCCCCACAGGAGCCCAGCACATCGCCGCGATCCCGCACTCCTCTGGAGCCGTGGCACAGGGGAGCACGGACACGGAGCTGCCGGGCCGAGGGCCAGGCACCCGCGTGAGGGAAGTGTGTCACACGTGGCGCTGCACCCAGGCACGCACACAGGTATGGGCACCTCGGGCAGGCGCTCCCGCCCCGCCTGTCCTCGGTCAGACCGGCCGGCCCGGCTGCCTCCGGGCCTGGCCTGACACCCCGCTGCAACCCGCGCCTGCATCCGCCTAATGACACAGCACAGAGCTGCCACGGGGACAACGTGACTCCAGAAGCTGCAGCCTGGGAAAAAAAAAAAAAAAAGCCA